CAGAGAATCCACCAGTCACTTTCTGGAACTGTCCCCCATTAAGCCTGTAAGAAGAGCAAGACTGCCCAGTCTCATTGCTAAGGTACAGTAAAGCTCTGCTCTGGGGACAGGGCTGTTTCTGCTGACATCCTTTTTCATAGACTCAAGAACAGGAGGAGCATGTGTTAATGCTGCCATGAGTAAGAACCCTGATTCATACTCAGAAGACCCCTCCAGAAATCAGCACGTTTCCTTAAGACATGACTACATCTTGAAACAGGATAGGAAGAGTAGAATTTTGAACTTGGTGTCGGAGAAGACTCCTGAAAATACCTTGGACAGCCAAGAAAACAAACAAATGGATCATGAAACAAATCAACCCAAAGTTCTCATTCAAGACACAAATGACCAGACTGAAATTATCCTACTTTGGGCATCTTATGTGAAGACCTAGCTCTCTGGAGAAGGCTTTAATGCTGGGAAAGGTGGAAGGAAAGAGATGATGATGACCAGCAGCAAGGTGGATGGACTCAGTTATAGTGGTGATGAGTGCACAGTTGGAAGAGTGGAAAAACCAGGTTAGTGACTGATCGTCAGGGAGAAAATCTCTCTCTGTGGTCGCTAGGAGTCAAAAACAACTTGATGGCACATAATTTATCTATCTATCAATCAATCACAGCTTGAAAACACAAATTCTCATTTCCTCAGGTCCACAATATAACACTCTGGCAACTTTGAAAGGTCTGTTCTGGCCAGTTCTTCCTGCAACACACTGGAGTGTGAACAAATTGGGAAATTGGCTTGGGGGGGAAAAGGCAAACGAAATAAAACCACATGTTACAGACCAGTCGATGAAAGCATGTTCTTTTTGAAACAGACAGATTATCAATAAACATTAGCTAAGACTCTAAGGGCAAAAGCAGTTCCTTTCTGAATGGGAGATGCTGAAGTCAGTGCCTTTATGCAAGCTTCAAAGGTGGAAACAGAGTATTGGTCCAGAGGCAGTTTGCTTTCATTTGTCAAGGCTATCCAAATATTCTTATAAATGATTAAAAAAAGACTGTTTTGGTCACCATTATTTTGGGTGATCTTATAGCAACATTTTCTAATGAGAAAAAGAGCACACCCATTTGGTTCACACGCAATGGCAAGCTTTTCCTTCTTCACTTGGGAAATGGCAGATGCTAAGTCATAGAGCTGAAGTTAATTCATCCCTGAAATGTTATCATCCAGGTGTCAAATAGACCTTAATGGTTGATATCAAAATTGGAAGCAAAGTAATAATTGATATTAAAAAAATAAAACACATTACTAAGAGGCAGATGTTTAATGCAAACCTGGGAATTATAATATGAAGTGATAAGCCTGAAGGTGGAAACATTAAACATACACACACTTTAACAGCAGCGTGCCATCTGTTTTGCTGTGCGGAGCAAAGCAGTGATAAATCTTCAGAGTGTGTGTGTGTGTGTATACACACACATACGCATACACACACACACACACGTGAGAGAGACTTAGAAAAAAAAAGAGGACATTATATTGCTAATCTTTCTATCACCAACTTCTCCAAGGAGCCTGTCTGCATAGATGGGCTTTGTGGTACCATGATAGAAACAAATTGGAGTAATTTGTATGGTAAGAATGGAATTATGAGCCCCTTCAAACAAGAGAATATATATATTCTGTATGCTTAGAATTAACTGAGGACGGCAGGAATTCAAACCTTTGATCTGAAGTAGACTATCAGCTATGTAAGGGCATTTAACATTTTGTTTTATTAAGCTAATCTCACCAAGTAAAGAAAATACATTATACATACAACAGTATTAAAGGATGAACACAGTATTGTATTTAGCAAGCAGAGCAGTTTTTAGAAAGGAAAAAAGACAGCTCTACCTGTCTTACGCACAGCATTGTCTGCCAACAATAAGGACAGTCCTGATCAATTTGGGGACATCTGGGTGAGTAGGCCACAAGTGCAAGCAAATCTCCGCTTGTTCATGCTATTCTAGGCAATACAGGGCCCTAATCTACAGGCAACCTTGAAAGCCAACATACTATACTGTTGCTTGCATTTCACTAACTGGGAGCGGCGTGAGTGAACTGATACATGCTTGGATACCAAATAAGTATATGAAAGAAAAATCTTTAAAAAAAGAGGCAAGAACATGAAACAACAATGTATGAATCAGTTTATGGGCATGGTAGAAGCAATAATGATTCGTAAGCTTAGAAACATATGAAAAAGTGTAGTGAAAGGGGGATAAACTAGTTTTAGCTGTATTTCTTTATTCTTATCTCATGCCTTTAATTTCTTTGGCTTACTATTTTGTGCTTCCTGGTTTCCCCCAAAAGGGAGTTGTGCAATCGGTATGTCTGTATGAGAGAACTCCAAAAAAAAAGGTGACCAATGTTTTTGCCCCTTTGTTGACAAACAGTACACCTCAACTATAAACCAAGTAGTTTTCTCCTTCCAGTATTACATAATAACTGTTTTAGTCAACCCCCTTTCCATCACCACAATATTTGTAGCTTTTTTTCCCTTCCTTGTATAAGCATTATTTATCTTGGGGAGAGGGGTTTAATGTAGAGTTTTTTAAAAATCTCACCATTAAAAAAAATTAAAATCCATTCCTGCAAAATCCACAATCTTTGATATTCTAATTGATCCCAAATCCTAGGGATAGAGCCAAAAGGAACATGTACATTTTAAATACAGAAATGAGTCCAGAGTCATGTTTGAGAGCCAGTTTGGTGTCCTGCTGAAGGTGCTGGCCTAGAAAGCAGGGGACAGAGAGTTCTAGGCCTCCCTCAGGCATGAAAGCTAGCTGGGTGGCTTTGGGCCAGTCGCTCTCTCATCTCACAGGGTTGTTGTTGTGGGGAAAATAGGAGGCCCAAGTATTAGGTATGTTCATTGCCTAGATAGATATAGTCTAATAATAATGTTAAGAAACCTACTGATGTCAGCCATAAATGCAGCAATATATTTCTAAGGCAATGGCACTATTGGGAGACAGAAATCTTTTGCTCTTAGTTCATCCAAATATTTCCAAAGGGTGAAGCTGTATAAGAAACAATTTGGTCTAAGAAATCAAGGTTTAGATCCCTCTCAGCCTTGTATGCAGCAAATCCAATATTCTTCAGGTTCAGTTTCCCAAACGGGAAGTGAAATTATCAGGAACTAGATTATTAAATAAATGAATGAAATAGCTGTATCCTTATAATAGATAATAGCCTGCTATCCTGTGCTCCCCTTATGCTTACTCATTGGGGCCTTCCTACCAGTCAATATATCCCGGAAAAGAATAGTAAGGACTGGGTGCTATCAACCAGCTGTGTCTTTAAAACAGATTAATCTGCAGATACGAGCAGGACGGAAAAGCTATCTCCTACTGAGAGACAGCTGCAAAAAGAGTAACTTTTTGCGAGCTGGGCGGCCATATAAAGTAAATAAAGAAAGAAATGCGGCTGTCGGGCACCGGCTCGCCACGAGGAAGTCGTGAGGTCCATCGCCGCGCACCGAAAGCAGAGAAGGAAGCTGGGCCGCCCTTCGAGTCCCTTTTTCTGATGGAAAGCCTCATTTGCATTTACCGGAGAACAGCCGAGCCGCTGGGATTACTCTCGGTTTAGCCTCCCCCGCCACCTGCCGGCCGAGGATTTCCGAAG